TTTTAATTTTAATTAGTAAAACTAAAAATAATAGTTTATCTTGATGTAAAAACTTTGAAAATAGTTATTCGTTATTCATGCGTCATTTCTACATATAAGAATGGTAAAGAAAAGTATTCGAATAATAAAAATAAACATTTTAAATAAAAAAATGCATTAAATTGAAAAAATAATAAAAAAATATTATATAAATGTTGATACATACTTGTTAATATCAATTTTAGTTTTAAAAAGAATTAAGCTAAACTCGGGTATTGTCTGTTCCAGCAATTTTAATCAATTATTTTTAAACATTCTAAGTGTTTTTTTTGTTTAATAAAATATGATTTCAAAAAAATGAGAACGTCTATCGAATTGCTACTTAAACGTATCTTTTGTTTACTCTCAAAATTTCCTGACCAAATTATGCTTAATTGTTTTTAAAGCCTGATATAATAATTCTAAGTTTTTTGTTCTTTAGTTTGTGGCTTCTAGGGTTTAAAACTCTTTTTTTTTTAAGTTTGAGTAGAGGAAGTTACTTCTTTAAGAAGAAGTCACACTGATTTAAATTAATATATACACTGGTATAAAAATCTAAATTAATATATACAAAACCTTTCTGGGAACCATTACAGACTGATAAGATATCAAATGCTATTGAACCGATATGATTTCTAGAATCAAAACGCTTTCATCTATCTTTTATATTTGGCTATATTTGTCATTTTCCTTTAAACAAAATAAAAACCGGCTTTTTTCACTAAAAAACCGGTTTTTAAATTTCGTAATTTTCGCCAAAAAACCGTTTTTGAAAACCGATAAACCCTAGTACTAATCATAAGGTTTGCTAATTGCTACTGGTATTTTATAAAATCTACATAATTGGACTTAATATTAATGCATTTAATGTGACTAACAGGTTTAAATACTAAAGTTTTTATAAAAAAAAATTAGTTATTTCGTCTAATCAATTCAGTTTTCACTGTTTTTAAATATTTCAGTATTACTTCCAATAGCACTAATAATCACATATACTAAATTGATATTTAATTAGTTGTAAGTGGAATTCTGTCTTGAGGCAATTATGGTATCGTGCCTTAAGGCAAATTGCTGGAACTTCCCGTACCGTAACGAAATGTTCGAGGAATACTGAATGTTTTCAAATAGTTTATTATAAATATTGTAACATTGTCTAATATTTATAAGAATTATATAAACTGAATTGCAGAGTTGAAATTATTTGTAAAGATATTAGAACTATAGTCAGAATTAAAAATAAAATCTGAATATTTTCGATATATAAAAAACTAAAAAAAAAAAAAATGGAACAAATTTTTTTTTCCAAAATCAATTATTTTGTTAAGACAAGCAGAAAGTTCTTTGAATCATTTAAATAGGACGCTTAGTTCTCTCAAAAACTGCCATTTTTTACATATTTAGCTCCGTATCTTCAAAATGGCCGGCCTGCCTTTGCCAAAAACTAATAAACACTTCTCCCAATCATTACTAATTGAATGCTTTTTAGATCATTCAAATCGGATACTTTGTTCTCTCGAAAATTCGATTTCTATTTTCTGCACTCTTTGCACGGTTGATCCGTGCGTCCTAAAACGTGACTGGAAATTTGTATCCATACATACATACACACACACACACACACACACACACATCCATTTTTTCTGAGGTATGCCAAAACGTTCAGAAACCTTCAAAACGTCGAGAAATGTAAAAATTTTCAATTCCGATTTTTGGCCCATTACAATACTTACCCTACGGAAGTTAAAAAATGTTATCAATAATTTACATATGTAAGTAAATATTAAATTAACTTATCAAAGAAGGTTATTACTGGTTTTACAAGGGAAAATACCGAAATACCAGTATTTATTAATTATTCATATCTAGTATGTGTCATTGTGTCCTTTCTCATAGGCCTCTAATATTTACTCCAAACAAATTTCAACCAATTTCTGTCCTTTTCCAGTGAACAGCCAATCGGTTAGCGAGAACACTCCGCCAATAATGCGCCTAGATAGAAATTGGCGAGTGAGCAGCGCCGAGCCGATAGGCAGCGTCATAGTCCGAGTAAGGGCCGAAGACGCCGAAAACGATCGACTGACCTTCGGCATAGAGCCGATTTCAAGGGACTCGAATTTGGGAGGACTTTCGGGAAACGTCGAAAGGGACATCCCTTTTGAAATCGATCCCGACACCGGAGTCGTCACTTTGACTAAGAGCTTGAAAGACAGGGTGAGTAGAAAGGATTGATTTGTAATAAAAAAAAAGTGCGCGTAAGGATCAAACGCGATTGAAGTAAAACTTATTTGCTACTGTACAAGATGGCATTTAAGTGAAAATAAATACATTATATAATAATTTTGAATAATGTTTATTAGTAATATGGTAACACTCGTGATGCACACATTTATTAGTGTCGACAATCATTATACACATTTATATAATGATAAATTATAAATTATATATTTATAATAGCATTAAAAATATGTATAATATTTACAAACAATAATGTAATCAAAGTCATACTTGAGATATGACATGATCGGTTTAAAGTAATTGCTGATTAATAAATTCTATAATATTCGTTCACACAGTGGATTATATTAAGCAACGCCTAAACAAATATTGTTTTTGCAAATTCACTCATCTTGTAACAATTGTGTTTGAAGAACTTCATGTAATTCAAATTAGCATACATTAATTGACTACTTTTTCGATGGTGATATAGTCTCATTCTTTGAACAGCTGTAATATCTGTCTTGCCTAAAAAATTGAAGCCATACTTTTATATTTGTTTTATTTATCAAGCCCTGCACGTGGCTTGATCTATGAATTATTTACTTTTTTATGTGAACGTTAATGCAATGATCATCATCAATATTACGAGGTAATAAATCAATCATATTATTAACGTCAACAGGCACATTTATAATTTGGCCAAACATTCCAAATTGTCTATTTGCATGTCGCAATCGTCTGATTTGCATGAAACACAACCTAGGTGAAATTAATCTTTCAGATACAGTATCTAGTTTAGGTAGATAATTTGGTTTAGGTGAAAATACAAACCTGTTAAATTTATAGAAAGTGCGAATTTTACCCGAATTTAATGCCTTTCGACAAGTTTGACATCCAACCTGATTATTTGAATCAATATTCAAAAAAACATTATTAAGAATTTGTTTTTGAGCATCATTTGATATTTCTAAGTCACTTTGAAACCAAAGTCGATCACACACAAAACATACATAGCCAAAGCTATCATTTGTAAATTATTTTTTAAACAATTTTCGTGCATTTCTAAACAAATTGAAGTCTTTATATGGAAGTTCAAATACTTCATTTGACTCTTGCAAAAGATCAGTTCTTATCACAATATATACAGAATCATCAATTTGCAATTGACGTGATGTAGTTGCTGTATCAGAAAAAGTTACAGCAGTACTTTCATCTAAAAAGATAACAGAATAATATATTCAAATGTGAATAGTTGAAACGTTTTTCGGGAGTCAAATAGCGAAAAAATATTCCTACTTATGCCAACATCTAAATTGATACCTGGCACAAGATTTTATAGTAAATTGGCAGTAACCGATTATTTTCCTGCAGTTGTTTTGTTTGACGATGTAATGTTGATCTTTCAGAGTTTGAACATGCATCAATATTTATAATTACTATTATAATAAATTAAAATTATTCTTCATAGCCATCATAAAAGATAAACATGTAAACTTACGTTAAATTGCCAATGAAGAAATATTGTTTCCACAATTTCACTTATCACGTAATTGTGTTTGTAGAACTTCATTATTGGCTGCTTGTTTATTTTGACTATCTCGCTGGCGATACAGTTTCATTCTTTGAGCAAGTTTAGTATCTGTCTTGCCTATAAAAATATTTTCCATTTTAGTAATAACCTCAAAGGTATATAGAAACCTCGAATAACTCGAATAATACAAATTACTTCAATAAACTTATATTTCTTACGCAGCGCAGATTTTTCCTTTGTTTCATTATTTGCGATCATTTGCACTACAGTTATTTATGAGGGACGAAATAAAATATTCTTCCGATCCTGACATTTTTATTAACTCACAAGTCAGAATTTATACCACTGTTTAACCTTAAAAAGTTTTGACATAACACCGGAAATTTGAACAATATGCTTCGTGCTTTCGGTGACGTATGATGGACGTATGCACGTATAAAGCACGCTTTCGGTGACGCACGCACGTATAAATTAACCAATGACTCTTACTTCACCTTGGCGTAACAGTTTCCGTTGCATTTGTACGGATTTACACCCATGTTGCGCCTAAAGAAGTTTTACTTCAAAAATATGGTATTGATATTTTTTTTATTTTTTATCCAGGGTGGCCAAAACTTTTTCCTGTACGTCACTGTGTTTGATGGCCAACTGAAGGCCAAAAATGAAGTCTATGTTAATATTGTGGACTCTGATAAACCTACCAAAGTTGTTGCTCCACACAACCAAGGTGAGATTTTGTAAATTCTTTTTATTCATTTAATTTTTTGTAGTATTACTAATAAATATGTTTTTTTTTGAACAGCTCCTCCACCGCCACCAAGAATTCCACCATTTCTATCAGTACCAGGTTACAATAATCGTCCTCCAATATCATCACCAGATTTGAACGTTTTTTTAAACAATAATAATATAAATATAAACCAAGAAGGAGTTGGTGTGGTTGAACCAAGTGTGGCCAAAAAAGATGGTCCTAAAATGGTGAGTCAATAAAATCTAGATAATGGTTTTAACTAGGGTTTATATATAATTTTTTTTAACATTTTTTTCATTACTTTTGCAGACAAATGCATCTCCCAATTCAACCAAACTTCTACCATCAATCGATTTCCATCCCTTACCAGCAAATACCACAACTGTTGGGGTAACTGACACCAATTTTGGCAACCAAACTTTGGGGGATGATTTGGATAATGAAGATGATACCACGACAAAGGTAAAAATTTAATATAATTATAAATTTTAAAATAAAAAATTTAATTTCAAAAAGAATTGAAAAATCACTGGTGGTACCTTGGTAGTTTTTGGTGAATTTTTGTCGTTGATGAAAAAAATTGTTGGGAAATTTGATAGTATAAGTATTAGAGGTTGAAGTAAATTATAAAATAAAATATTTAATCGTGGTTATATCCAGGATGAAACACCATTGGTGGTACCATGGTAGTTTTTGTAAAATTTTGTCTTTGATGAAAAAAATTGTGGGAAAGTTTGATAATTTTAGTAATGGAGGTTGGAATAGGTAAATTTGTATACCAGAAATTTTTGGGAAAAATAATAAATTCTAAAATAAAAAATTTAATTGTGGTTACATTTAGGATGAAAGACTACTGGTAGTACCATGGTAGTTTTTGTAATTTTTTGTCGTTGATGAAAAAAAATGCAAAAAAGTTTGATAATTTTAGTAAAGGAGGTTGAACTAGATAGATTTGTGTACCAGTTTGTGAAATTTTTGGGAAAAATAATAAATTCTAAAATGAAAAAATCTAATTGTGGTGAAAACCATAATGAACAACCACTGCTGGTACTATGGTGGTTTTTGTAAATTGTTGTCGTTGCTGGAAAAAATTGCGGGAAAGTTTGATAATTTAAGTCATTGGTGTCAAAGTAGACATGTTGATGCACCAGGTGTTAAAATTTTAGAAGTGTAAATACAAACGGTGCGTGCAGTAGGACATTTGAAACTCATGCGAAAGATTTCTTGTTGTACTAGTGACGTAGTAGTTTTTGTATATTGTTGTAAATATTTTGGAATTTTGTTAGAAATTGTACTAATTTGAATAACTTGTGTCAAAGTGAATGGATTGGTGTACTAGTTATCAAAATTTTAGAAGTGTAACACAAATGGTGCGTGCAGAAACACGTTTTGAAAACAAGCAAAAGATTATTTTTGTTACTAGTAACGCAGTAATTTATGCAAATTGTTATCAATATTTCAAAATTTTGTATGGAAGTTTTCAAATTTGAACAATTGGTGTCAAATAGGATATATTGATATACTAGTTGTCACAATTTTAGGAGTGTAGTACAAACGGTGCGTGCAGCAACAGGTTTTGAAAACAAGCAAAAGATTACTTATGGTACTAGTGACGTAGTAGTTTTTGTAAATTTTTGTAAATAATTTAAAATTTTGTATGGGAGTTTTCAAATTTTAGTAATTGGAGTCGAAGTAGGTAGATTTGTGTACCAGTTATCAAAATTTTAGAAGTGTAGTACAGACGGTGCGCGCAGTAACACGTTTTGAAAACAAGCAAAAGATTACTTATAGTGTGAGAACTGTAGTAGATTTTGTAAATTGTTGTAAATATTTCAAAATTTTGTATGGAAGATGGCTAATTTCAATAATTAATGTCAAAGTTGATATATTGATATACTTGTCACAATTTTAAGAGTGTAGTACAAACGGTGCGTGCAGGACCACGTTTTGAAAACAAGCAAACGATCACTTATGGTTGTAATGACGTAGTAGTTTGTGTAAATTGTTGCAAATATTTCAAAATTTTGTATGGAAGTTTTTTAATTTTAGTATATAGTATCTAAGTAGATATATTGATGCACTAATTACCCCAAATTCAGTACTGTAGCACAAACGGTGCTTCCAAAAACAGTTCCTAAACATCTATACAAGTCCTAATGATGCTTTGACCTAAGGAAGATTTTTTGGGCCTGTACAATAGGGCGTATAGTTTTAGCCTCCAAATTTATTAAATACAATAAACAAAATATTGATAACAATATTTGCTACATTAAATTTATTCCAGTGGTTCCCAATTTTTTAATAAAATTCTTATTTATCATCAATTCAAACACCAGAACTAGTCACCACCTATTCCAATCATTTATAAAATTTGGACGTGCACAATAGAACGTAAAGTTTAAACCTCCGAAATTATTGAAAACGATACACAAAATATTAATGACAATATTTGCTACATTAAATTTATTCCAGTGGTTCCCAAATTTTTAAAAAAATCCTCATTTGTCATCAACTCTAACACCAGAACTAGTCATCACCTACTCCAATCATTTATAAAATTTAGACGTGCACAATAGAACGTAAAGTTTAAGCCTCCAAAATTATTGAAAACAGTACACAAAATATTGATGACAATATCTGCTACACTAGATTTACTCCAGTGGTTCCCAATTTTTTAATAAAATTCTTATTTGTCACCAAATCGAACACCCAGAACTAGTCATCACCTACTCTAATCATTTATAAAATTTGGACGTGCACAATAGAACGTGAAGTTTAAGCCTCCAAAATTATTGAAGACGATACACAAAATATTGATAACAATATTTGCTACAATAAATTTACTCCAGTGGTTCCCAACTTTTTAATAAAATTCTCATTTCTCACCAATTTGAACTCCAAAACCAGGCATCACCTACTCCAATCATTTATAAAATTTGCCAGATTTTTTATTTACCTTATTTTTATTATTTTTTAGATTCCAGCTATGGTAACATACAATTTTACGATCACTGTTATACCAATGGCAATTGTAGCAGTGGTTTCCATTTTGGGGTCCGGATTTGTTTTTTTGTGCCGAAAGAAATTGTGCATGTGGAGGAATGGCAAAGTCGATAAAAATAATGAAGAGGTGCGTAAATTGATTACAAATAGTAATTATTACTTGAAATTGATTTTAGCCTGAAATTTATCGCATTTTTTCAATTTGATTTACTATGTTATCTTATTTTGACTCCAATATTCTAACTTTCATTATATATTTTTTTTTCCAGAGTAAAGATCCTTCTGGAGGCATAGCCCTTCAGGAGGCCCCAAGTGATGCTTCCATGGGCAACTGGAGGGCTCCAAGGGCCACTTCAAACAGATATGAACCTTGGGACCAACAAGGATCCAGGATTTTGGCCCAGGTAAGGAACCATATTAACATGGTCAACCTAATTTGATAAATTGCTTTTGATATATTATTCAGTTTGTGTTGCTGTTTTGAAGTATACAGAGTTGTTGTAGGGCCTCATGTTGTTAGACAAAGTTTTTGATGAATTAATTTTGAACCTATTTGTTCAATACGACTTTTATGTAAATCGAATGGTTTAGAAGTTATTGAATATCTAATGCATAATTGTACCTTAACTAATGTAAAGATTTGGACTACTACTCTGTTGGACTTAAGGGGCACAACTAGTGTGAAATTTTCAAAGAATCGAATTTTCAATTTTTCCATATTTCGATAGCTTATACCTTTAAAAATAACATACCAAAATTTTAAATCGATATCTTAAATAGTTTTTGAGTCACAGCCATTTAAAGAGTATATATATATAATATATAGTATAACGATTATTTAATCTTTAAACGCGTTTTTCTCGAAACAGCATTTTCCGAATTTGCTGCAGCGATTACTCAAAAACAAATGATCCGATCACTATCAACTTTTTTTTACATGTTCTAAATATAGTTCTCCGTAAAATGAACTATCGATTTTTTGATCGGATCAAAAATCGAATTTTGGCAGTCCAAAAACGACCAAAATTTTGGGTACAATTCGACTTTTTTTTAAAAAACGCCGTCATTTTGTCAATATTTCATTTTTTTTCTTTATCGTAGTTCATTTTACAGACAATATTATCTAGTTTAACGAGATTTTTTTTTTAAATTTTATCCACGTAGAAGGCCGGAATCACTGCAGCAGTGAAAGGTCTTTATTTGTCGCGCCATTGGAGATCGACGATAACTTAAAGAAAAAATTAATTTTGTTCTTCAAAAATTTTACTAGGTATTCTTAAAATATGTATAAATATATTCCTAAAATTTTGAAATGATTGATAAAGTAGTTTTTTTAATATAGATTCCCAAAAATCACCTTGTTTTTAGGCGGTTACACTAGTTGTGCCCCTTAAAGCACTTTAGAATATTTTATCATTTCCTAATAATGATTTTTTTTCAACATGATGTTTCTATTCAAATAGGTCATATAGTTTTAATTTAACCCCAGTTTTTTATTATCGAATTGTTTCCACGATGTTAGGGAGTTTTTTTCGTACAGATTTGGCTTTGTGCGAAAGTGGTCCGTCCATTAACCCGGAAACAAAAGTATTAAAAACCATGATAAGAGCTCAAAGTATTATCACACATTTTTATTATTGAAAAACACATATTTGATGCTAAAAAAATTACATATGAAACTTTAGCCATAACAATTTCTTCAAGTTTCTCTGGTCCTAGCCTAATTACAATAGTGATTTACAGTTTTTTTCAATTTGTTGTAAATATTTTCGGGAGAACGATTATTAAATTTAATGACAGCAGGCAAAGTAAATAAATTGAGGTACCAGGTGACAAAATTACAGATCTGTAATACAAACGGTGCGACCTGGAACACTTTTATAAATCACCGGTAGAAGTTTTAATCAATCATTATCCATAGTACACATCTTGCTAACCAAAGACATTTTTCATTTGTTTTAGCAACAAATTGTACTATTTTTCTAATATCTCAAAAACTAATAAAGTTACTAAAAAACAATATAAGAGGAAAAAATAGTTTATAAAATTCTTTAAATGTTTCTTTAAGACAATTTTGTGCTTATATCAATATTTACAACGTTACATTTATTTGAAAGCTTAAATATTTTTGTTTTTCTAAATAATATTTAATACTCATAAACTTTAGAAACTTTGATGTAACAAACGGTACAAAATTGTATTATTTTTCTAATATACGGTTGTCAAATATCTCCCTTCCGCCTTTTTGTATTATAAACCAAGAGCAAAAAAGCGGAAGGGAGATATTTGACAACCTAATATCTCATAAACTAATAAAGTTACTAAAAAACAATATGAGATTAAAAGATAGTTTATAAAATTCTTTAAATGTTTCTTTAAGGCAATTTTGTGCTATTTTCAATATTTACAGATTTACATTCGTTTGACAGCATAAATATTCTTATTCATCATTCAGAAGTTTAAACCAGAAGTTTTATTAATCTTAAGTCTCAAAAATGTTAGTGAAGACAAAAGTTTAGAATATAATTTAATTTATATATATAAGACTAACATTTGAAGTCATCAACTGAATCTACTATTGATAGTACATGCCTTTTTATTATTACCAATTCTTGGCTTTGTTTGTTTACAAAATTTAAATGATCAAAAACAAATGATATATATTTGACTAGAAAACTATATAAACATGTGTACACACTTTTTTTTAAGTCTGGCCTACGTTCAAACTCAAAAATATTTATGCAAAACCCATTTTATCTCTCTCAAAGCCATAACAATTCCTTCAAGTTTACTCGAATATTGAATTGAATGATACACTTTTGTGTCACATTTTCATATTATTTATTACCAGAAAGCACTTTAGGCAAAAAAGTAAAAAATCAATAACCACATAGAATAGTTGAATAAACTTGTCATCCAAAAAGACAACTTGAACCTTTGTACACCTGAAAATACAACCTTTTTTTCATTGGTTTTTGATATACATCATAAGGCCAGATGCCATTCATATAATTGTTTACTACAAATTCTTATTGAATAACTAACTTGTAAATTAATTTTAGTATTATTAATAAACTAAACTATATATTTATACATTTTTAAATTCAAACGGTACAAAATTTTACTTTTTTTTATAATACCTCAAAAACTAATAAAGTTACTAAAAAACAATATGATATGAAAAAATAGTTTATAAAAATCTTTAAATGTTGTTCTAAGATAATTTTGTGCTATTTTCAATATTTACAGATTTACGTTTGTTTGACCGTATAAATATTTTTATTCACCATTCAGAAGTTTTAGCCAGAAGTTTTATTAATCTTAAGTAACAAAAATGTTACTAAAGACAAAAGTTTAGAATATAATTTAATTTATATATATATATATATATATATATGTATATATATATATATATATATATACGAGGTCTGTTCAAAAAGTTTTCGTAATTTTCGTTTTTTCAAAAAAATATTTATTTATTCGTCTACATTAATGTGGTCCCCTTCAAAGTAGTCCCCCCCAGATATAATACACTTATGCCAGCGTTTTTTCCAATTTTCGAGCACCCTTGATATTCACTTTTTGATATGTCCTTGAGCACTCTCGGCGATTTTCTTCAATCGAGGAAAACCGCCGTCCTTTCATGGGTCTCTTCAACTTTGGGAATAGGAAAAAGTCACACGGAGCCATATCTGGTGAATTTTTGCACTTTGCAACACTTTATTTCATTTTTTACGCAAAATTTAATACAAATTCTTTGACTTTTTCAATTCTTCCATTGTAAAAATCGCCGAGCTCAGAAAAACACGTCGAACCTTAGCGACTACCACAGACAAAGTAAACAGTGATATAGCTGAAAATTTCATCATACTTTAGGGGCATGTATACCAACACAATAAAAAAAAAATTTGACAATCAGACACTACAGACCCGCGAAATTTAATTATTAGTAATTCCGGGTACTTTTTGAACAGACCATGTATATACAAACAGTGCGCCCTAGACTAACATTTGAAGTTTTCAATTGAATCCACTATTGATAGTACATGCCTGTTTATTATTATCAATTTTTGCCTTCGATTGCTTACAAAATTTAAATTATCAAAAACAAATGATATATCTATATATATATATATATTTGGCTACAAAACTATATAAACATGTGTACACACTTTTTGTAAGTCTGGCTCGGGTATAAGCTCATAAATATTTATGCAAAATCTAATTCAACACTCCAAAAGCCATAACAATTCCTTCAAGTTTACTCGAATATTGAATTGAATGATACACTTTAGTGTTACATTTTTATATTATTTATTACCAGAAAGCACTTTAGAGTTTAGACAAAGAAGTAAAAAATCAATAGTAACATAGAATAGTGTAATAAACTCGTCCTCCAAAAAGACAACCTAAAAATTCCACTTTTTTTTTTTTCTTGGCTTTTGATATACATCATAAGGCCAGATGCCATTTATATAATTGTTTACCACAAATTCTTATTGAATAATTAACTTATTATTACTAGCTACTAGTGTTTGTACATTGATTGGGAAAATAACATTTTCTTTGAGTAAATTTCAACTTCAACTACTTTTTATCACTACATTTTTTATTATTTTTATCTGATTTTTTTTCCTCCAGGAGGCCAATATAAGTCCATCCTGTACGACAAACCTGGACGCAATTCCTGCCAGGTTTTCGTCCAGGGAACCAATCCAGGATCGTTGGGAATTTCCAAGACACAAAATTAAAGTTTATGATATTTTGGGCGAAGGCGCATTCGGGCAAGTTTGGCGTTGTGAAGCTCAAGACATAGACGGTGAGTTGGTGGAAAATTAAAGAAAAACACTATACATAACATCACAATATATATATATATATATATATATATATATATATATATATAAATTGTTATTTAGGTAAGCAAGGACCAAGTACTGTAGCTGTCAAGACTTTGAAAGGCAACGCTACAGAGAGGGACAAAAAGGACTTGGAGTCGGAATTACAGGTAATTTTTTTTACTAAAACCATCCTAATTTTATTACTATATTTTTAACTTCCCGTAGAAAACTTTTAGATTGCTGCAATAACATCAAAAAGTCAAAAAAATGTTGAAAAAATATCACGATTAGAAATGACTTTTACTCGGTTTGCTTTCTAATATCCAACGGTTAATAAAAAATTACTTTAGTTGTTTTTTTATACATTTAGTTTCATCAAGAGTTTTTGTACAAAAAAAATCCGGTTTGATTCTGTTAAGATTTGGCAAAGTTAGATCCGTGGCGCTAGGGTACGAGCTTTGGTCTCGCAACCATAGGGATACTGTGATATCATGATGTAATGATATCAGATTTTTGCTTGAGTAAAAATAACAAATATTCTGATTTTTACTTTTAAATATGATGCCTAGTTAAAAAAGAACCTTCAAATTGCTACAATGACATCAAAAAGTCAAAAGAATGTTGACAAAATATCACGATTAGAAATGACTTCTACTGGGTTCACTTTCTAATATCCAACTGTTAACAAAAAATTTGATTTTGTTTGAATTTAGTTGGTTTTTTATATGTTTAGTTTCTTCAAGAGTTTCTGTACAAAAAAAATCCGGTTCGATTATGTTAAGATTTGGCAAAGTTAGATCCGTGGCGTTAGGGTACGAGCTTCGGTCTCGCAACCATAGGGCTACTGTGGGATACTTTTGCTTTCAAATATGATATTGAGTAAAAATTGCAAATTATTTTTTTAAATTGCATATTGTCAGGGTTTCACACAAATGACGAGTAAACACATCAAAACGCAAAATTCTGCCACTCGTCCATGACGAGTATATTCGTCAATCACATTTAACTGGTCAAATTATAAATCATAAATACATTTATCATCGAAAATGTGATGAATTTTATATTGAGTTTATATGGATATAAACAGTGGTAAATTGCCTAACTTGATTAAATACAGATTTATTTCATACTTTGTTTAATGAATTTGATTTGTGATTAATTCGAAAATATTTATTACACAGATAAAAATGAAAATTATTTTCTGAAAGTTGATTTTTGTACGAATGAAATTTGTATGTATGTGTTATCAGAAAAATGCAGTACTATCACTTTATCTTATTTTCATATAATAAATCTTATTTAAATCTCTCTGTGTGTCAATGTAAGTTAATTCATTTGAAATCCATTTAAATTAATTACATAACATGAATTGATGTATTGATAAAATGCCAATTCAAGAATAATTTCCAAATTTCAATTTTAAGCAGAAGAGTGAGGACGTACTTATTCATTATAAAATTTATTTATAATATTTTTAAAAAAAGATTTTTTCTATTTTAAGCAGAAAAGTGAGATCGTATTTTAAAAAAAATAATTATTCTATTTATTTAAAAATGAATTCTTACAATTTCAAGCATAAGAGTGAGGTCATATTTCATCAAAAATTAATTTATAATATTTTTTTTTTCAAAATTTACTTTTAATTTTATTTGAAAAATAATTTTTTGTATTTTAACCAGAAGATTCTTACAATTTTAAGCATAAGAGTTAGGTCATATTTTTTCACAAAATTTATTTATAACATTTTTGAAAAATGAATTAATTAAAAAAAATGACCCAGGCCAAGCACAGTCTAAGCGCCACTCTGGTACAAATATTTACCCAAGTGCGTTTATACTGTTTAAGCACTTTTCCGATTTTGTGAAAACTATTGAAAAATTTGAAAATGCCGCCAAGCTAAGCACTGTATAAGCGAAAATGTCGCACAGAATTATTTGCAAATGCGTTGAGACTGTGACTATACGGGAGCAGTTTTTCAATTTTGTGTAAATTAGGCAACTATTTTTTTTTTAAATAGAATTCGAAATGAAATGACGATTGTTAATGTTCTGGAGATAAACTGATTTATGATTTATGATTTACATTCGATCTGCTCAGATATAACAAGACAGCAAAAATAATGAAAGTTACACTATTTGTAATAATATATTTGAAAACGTTTAAAATTTCTCGAATATTTCATTACGGTACGGAAAGTTTTAGCAATTTGCCTTAAGGCACGGTGCCATACACCACTAGTTATTAAAATGTATTTTTTCTTCAGGTTATGAAACAATTAGGCCCTCATCCAAATGTGGTGAGACTTTTAGGATGCTGCAGCGATCGCCATCCGATTTTAGTAATTTTGGAATTTGTTGCTAAGGGCAAACTTCAGCAGCATTTGAGGGATTCCAGGGCAAATACTGCCAGTGGGGAAGCCAGACATTACGGTAATAATTGAAAATATATTGCTTGTAGAATGAGTTAGAGATTTGTTGGAGGTTTATTGATGTTTTGGGACTTTTTCCCCAAAGGTAACACCCATGGAAGTGGAGCAGCCTTGACTTCTAGAGAGTTAACAGCTTATGCTTACCATGTTGCAAGAGGAATGGAATTTTTGACAGCAAAAGGGGTAAGTTTATATATATATATATAAAACTTGGATAAATTCACATATGTATTTTTACCTATTTAGATTATCCATCGAGATTTGGCAGCCAGGAACGTTTTGGTAACCGAAGATGGTGTTTGCAAAGTCGCCGATTTTGGTTTTGCTCGTGATTTGGAATCTAAACATGTTTATGAGAGGAAAAGCGAAGGACGGTTGCCAATTAGGTTAATATGATAAAAATCATCATAGTAAATTATACATTAGTCTGACATATTAATCTTCTATCTTTTTTCTAGATGGATGGCTCCAGAATCCCTCTACGACAACGTTTTCTCAGTACAATCTGATGTTTGGAGTTTTGGGGTCCTCATGTGGGAAATTGTGACCCTAGGGTCAACGCCTTATCCAGGTCTATCAGCTGCCGATGTCATGAGAAAGGTAAATTTCTTAAATATATATATATATAAGGTTGTCAAATATCTCCCTTCCGCCTTTTTGTATTATAAACCAAGAGCAAAAAAGCGGAAGGGAGATATTTGACAACCTAATATAACATACTTGTCACGATGTCCGGAATATACTCCTAAACTACTGAACCGATTTTGAATTTTTTTGGCTCACGGTGTGCACTTATATTTAACTTAAATCATAGGCACTATTAAAAATGTTGGTTTTTATTTGAAATACTAAAATTTAAGAATTTTTATCGTTTTATTCAAAACTTTTATATCGGAGTGTATAAAAGTGTTCCCTAGGAAATGTTGTAAATTTTATCTAGTTTCACCCTGTCTTATTCAAAGGGGTGGTTTCATATGAAATTTTTGAGTTATTTGACTAAAACCAGAAAAAGTGTCCCGAATTTTCTATTTATTGCTTAAGAATGAAATATCGAATTCAAAGTCGTTTTATTCAAAACTTTTATATCGGAGTGTATAAAAGTGTTCTCTAGGAAATGTTGTAAATTTTATCTAACTGAAATTTGGCAAAAACCAAAAAATGTGCCAAATTTGCTATTTATTGCTAAAAAATTTTATTCAAAACTTTTATATCGATTAATAATTAACTTCCCGTAGGGTAAGTTATAGTAATCGCAAAAAATCGAAAATGAAAATTTTTATATATCTTTACGTTTCAGAGGTTTCTGAACATTTTGGCATACCTTAGAAAAAATGGATGTATGTGTGTGTGTATGTGCGTGCGGATACAAATTTTCGTCGACGATTTCGGGAACAAGGATGAAGCAATTTGAATAATTTAAAAAACATTCGATTCGTATTGATAAGGAGACGTGCTGATTAGTTTTTGGCGAAGGCAGGTCTAGCCGTTCCGAAGATACGGGACAAAAAGTGCCGAAAACGGTAACTCAGTTTCTAAGAGAACGGAGCGTCCGATTTGAATAATTCAAAAAACATTTCACTTGTATTGACAAGATGAAGAATCTATAAAATTTTCATGAAGGTAGGTCTCGCGGTTTCGGGGATATGGAGGAAAAAGTAAAAAAATGAGCCATGTGGCGGTCAAAAATGATCATTAGACATATGCACATCAAATTATCAGATATTTTATAGAGATTTTAACAATAAGTATACATTTTGTTAACATTCCTATGGGTTCCGTACCAATGCTTATCCGTTAGACGGCGACGCGGCGCTTACGCGCTTTATATTTTGTCCCTATGCAGTTAAAGCAGTACGATTGCTTTGAAAAAAAGTTTAGATCTTCCAAAATATGTCAAAATAAAGAAAACAATTAAAAAAAAAAAAAAAAAAATTAAAAAAAAAATAAATAAATAATTTTTTTTTTCAAAAAAAGTAATTTTTTGTCCAATTTATAGTTTCTTAAAAATCTTATTTTTTCGAAATAAAATTATTTAAAAATGGTAATCGTTAATAAATTTTTTGTACCGGAAGTTCCAGCAATTTGCCTTAAGGCACAATGCCTTAATTGCCTTAAGACAGAATTACACTTACAGCTAGTTTTCTTTATTTCAGGGCTGTTTTTTTGTCTTGAAACTTTGTATATTCTGTGTATTCATAAAATTTAGTTTTATAAAACTAATTAATATTTTTTTATAAAATAAAATTGTTTGGTATATTTCTTTATTTTTTAAAAAATATGTAAAAAATTTATGTATTCCAACACAGAACTATTTTTTTTGTTTTGGAACTTCCTATATTTTGTATATTCATAAAATTTAGTTTTATAAAACTTATTAATATTCTTTTATAAAATTAAATTGTTTGGTATATTTCTTTCATTTGGAACCAAAAATAGATACATTATTTATATTTTTAACTTATAACATTTCAACACAGGACTATTTATATTGTCTTGAAACTTTCTATATTTTGTACATTCATTAAGTTTCATTTTATATTTTTTTAAATGTATTTTTTAAAATATAATATTTTACAGTATGTTAAAATTTGTCAAAAAGTGATATAATAGTCTCTAATAATTAAGTGATATAATAATATCTAATAATTTATTGAGATTGTGCTTATATTAAAAGCTTTGCAAAACTTTTACAAATTTAAAACAAAAAACTTAATTTTGTACACAGAACAAATTCATACTTCTAAAAATACAAATTAAACTGAAAAAATGTCTAAAAAAATATAATATAGTAGATAAAAACATCTGTAATTCAAAAACGTAATAAAAATATAATAAAAACGAATTTAGAAATTAATTAATAATATTGAAGTAAATATAAATTTTAATCAAATTTTAATAAAAACTTGACTACTAACACTGAACGTATTCCTATTATAAAAAATACTAATTTTAGAAATATCGAAATATCGAATTCAAAGTCGTTTTATTCAAAATTTTTATAGCGGAATGTATAAAAGGGTTCCCTAGGAAATAATGTAAAATTTATTTAGTTTTACCCTATCTAACTGAAAATGGGTGGTTCCATATGAAATTTTTGAGTTATTTGACCTAAACCAAAAAAAGTCCCAAATTTCTATATTTATTGCTAGAAAATGAAATATCGAATTCAAAGTCGTTTTATTCAAAACTTTTATATCGATTAATAATTTTGGCAATAAACAACAATAAATTGTGAATTTTGAAAGCCAAAGCAAAGCAAGTCTGGGTTTAATAGTATATTAATTTAATAATAATATTAGTTCATTCGTTAAACTAAATACTACTGTTGCAAAAAGACTTTCAAATTACTTTTATTATTGTTATTATTTTTTTTTTTGTTTTTTTTTATTTGACTTGTTATTGTTAAAATACTTAATAATTAATTAACTAAAAACTTATAACTTAAAACATTTAAAAAATTGTGAAACAAAATTTTGATTTTTTTTTATTACTATTTTATATGACTGTTATTGTTAAAATACTTAAGAATTAGTTAACCAAAAACTTATAATTCAAAAACACTTATAAAATTCTGAAACAAAATTTTGACTTTTTTTTAATTACTATTTTTATATGACCCTTATTGTTAAAATACTTAATAATTAGTTAAATAAAAACTTATAATTTAAAAACACTTAAAAAATTGTGAAACGAAATATTTCTTTCATCAAAATGCCTAAAAATTTGTAAAAGAAAAAACTTATAATGTAAAAATAATTGATAATAATAATAAAAATGATAATGATAATGCTAATAATAATAATATTAAAAATAATAACAATAATACAAGACACTTAAATTTGTTAAAATATCATAAAATAACTTAAAATTTGTTAAATAAAATAATTACATTGTAAAAGTATTGTAAAGATTATTAAAATCTTTATTAACCATATAAATCTTGTTAAATTTAAAAAAAATACATGCAACAAACTAGTTATATTTAAATATAATTAAAATTAACTGAATATAAATTAGTTGGTTTATAGTAAATAAAATGAATAATAAATAAATAAGTAATAAAATAGCTATTAATTAATTAAATTATATTAAACCTATAAAGTATTGACTTAAGCCTCATTATAATATTATTATACCGACGGCTTGTAAAATAAATAAATAAATAAATATATACTTATATATGTATATATATATATATATATATAAATTATTTTCATCTTTGAGAAGTTTTCCAGACAGCATCGATAATGCTTTTGCTTTGATTCTCTGGAAGTTATTAAATATTTTAACGATATTGTCCAATTATGTTATCTCACTTTGAAATTGATATGAAATTCCTTTATAGTCCATTTTTAGACGTTTATAATATATATATATATATATATATATATATATATATATATATATAATGAAGTTCGAGACTTTCTTGCAAATGACGTTTATTTAAAGTCAAGCAATTAATTTCAAATTGGAAAATTTATGAGTCTACACAATTAACTAATGTCACTTCCACTATTAAATATAACTTTATTTGAAGACGAAATTTAATTTAAAAAAAAAGTTTCATGTATAACTTATTATATCGACAGCAAAAAACAGTTTTTAGTTTATGGTACAAAGAATTATTTAGTACACAAGAATCTATTAACACAAATTAAGTGATCATACTTTTATTGACTCTCGTACTATAAAAAATTAATTGCTCTTTGATTAGTATTTGTATTTGTAAAAAATTCTAAAATTTATAATGATATGCATAAAAGTCAAACATTTATCTAAAGTTTTAAAGAATCCAGAAATTAGAGATCCGGAAGAAAAAAAACTTGTGTCTCATTTTTAAAACAAAATTGTTCACATTAATTGAAAATAAAAAATGTATTACAAAAGGACAAAAATCTTTACACAAAAATGCTGAATATTATTAGATTTCAGAAGGCATAGCTTTTGTATTCTTCATAATTATTGAAGATAAAAAAGTTATGAAGTGATATTTGAAAAATCTTTAAAAATTTGGTACAAAGTATTATTTAAATTTAAATCTCTTGTAATCTGGTGATACTATTGAGCAATATAATCGAACCATCAACAATAAAAACCTAAATTATAAATAGTTTAGCATTATATTAATCATAACAATAATATATTCGTAATAAGTTTGGAATTTGTTCTGAAATGTATGTAGTTTATATTTTTGTAATTCCAAAAATAGTTTTGGGTATAACATACTCAAATAACAACATTTTACTACAAATAATCTTCGAGATTTAAAAAGAGTAAATTTTTTTTATTGGCTCAAAGAAACAAATCACGTTACCATATTTTTTTGGAAAGCATATATTTTGAAATTTTGTAATAATTCTGTAATTTGATAATAATAATTAATTTGAACTTATTTGTTTTACAAATTTTGTAACCATTTTATATTAACATACTGAAGAAGATCGTTTTAGTTTACTTGAGATTTAGGAACTCAAAGTTTACTAATTATTCCTAAACAATTTTGTTCTAAGATTTTTAAATTAATTTATACGGATTTATAGATAATTTAATTAGCTTTCTAATGATATTAAATAATAATGATATTTTTATTTAATGTATAACAGAATAAATGTATTTGTAAACGGAAGCGTTGTAGATAAAACAATATGGACACCTGACGACTATATTAATTGCAAAGTTTGATGAATTATCTTTAAATAATTTTATTCTAATAGTTACAAAGTTTTATTTACAGAATTATAGATAATTTTATTGATCTTTCAATGACATAACTTAATATATAATATATAAAATATAAAAGTTTTGAATAAAACTCTTTTGAATTCGATATTTCATTCTTAAGCAATAAATATAGAAAATTCGGGTTAGTTTCTTGGTTTTTGTCAAATAACTCAACATTTTCATATGAAACCCATCTTTTTAGTTAGATAGGGTAAAACTAGATAAAATTTACAACATTTTTCAGGAAACACTTTTATACACTCCGATATAAAATTTTTGAATAAAACGATTTTGAATTCGATGATATTTCATTCTTAAGCAATCAATATAGAATATTCGGGACATTTTTTTGGTTTTTGTCAAATAACTCAAACATTTTTTATGCAACCATCCCTTTTCAGTTAGATAGGGTGAAATTAGATAAAATTTACATTTCCTAGGGAATACTTGTAAACACTCCGATAAAAAAGTTGTGCATGTGTGTGCAAAATATGTGCATTTGCGGACACTATAAGCCGATTTCACACTCGTTTAAATGACGAACATGCCCCCGGACTTGATTTTGCAAGTCGCATAAGAAGTTTCGTAAACTATTTTAGTTTCAATTTATTATTATTATTATTATTATTATTATTATTATATTATATTATTGTTATTATTTTTATTATTATTATTATTATTTTACTATTTCTATTATTGTTATTTTGTTATATTTTTTATTTTTCTAGTATTATTTTATTATTCAAAAATTTTATTTATATTAGGTTGTCAAATATCTCCCTTCCGCCTTTTTGTATTATAAACCAAGAGCAAAAAAGCGGAAGGGAGATATTTGACAACCTAATATTATTTATTAATTTTATTTTCATTATTATTTGCTTATATTTTATATCAAATCATATTACGGATATTATTTTCATGTAAATTTTATCCTTTGCACTTTTATTTATTTAAATTATGTTATTAATCATCAATATTACTTGATGTTAATAATTTAGCAGTTTTAATAATTATTGAAATTAATTTAAAAAAAAAAAAGTAGTTTCAATATATATTTTGCATTCAAATATCAAATCAAGCGAGAAGTATCACTCATCTTTTGCCCTCTACTTTAAAATAGTATTGTTGAAAAACTGCAAAACGTGTTTTTGAGATAATGCTTTCCATCAACATTTGATATGATGGCACCAGCCAAAAAATGCCCCCAAAACAAATATCCACTTCTTTTTTCCAAATTTCGATTAACCAACATCTAACCAATATATTACTTCAACAATCTAATATATTTTCATTCCAATTACACAATTTCATTGATAGTCAATCTATTTTTCCCAGGTTCGTGACGGTCATCGTCTAGACAAACCAGAGCACTGCAAACGCGAATTATATAATATAATGTACTACTGTTGGGCCAGAGAACCGGCAGACAGGCCCGGATTCCCAGAATGTGCCGAATTATTAGAAAGACTTCTTCTACAAGACACAGATTACATAGAAATGGAACTATTTCCGGAACACAGTTACCAGAATTTGCCGACTTTGAGCGAGACTGAAGTCACCGGAGAAAAACTGTAAAGGTAATAATTTATTTGAATTTCATAAAGCATAAGCAGAGGCACAAAGATCTACTTTTGTTAATCGACAATATATCTGTTTATATTGTGACAGCAACGTAACACATCTTTTGCCCTCTACTTTCAAATAGTATTGTTGAAAAACAGCAATACGTCACGTCTTATTGAGATAATGCTGGAATCAATGATAATAATTTTCGCACTCAATTTGGTACAATTTATAATAACTTTCAGATGCGTGACTGTGCCCCTAATAGAATAAAAACATTCTAAAACAATAAAAATACAATTTTGGA